CAAGAGAGAGAGAAAGAGAATCAGATAAGCCTGGAGTTCCACGGAGCTCCAGAGTCCAGCAACCCCTAAGAATAGGCTACAATGGACAAGAACTAGAGTTCTCCAGTACCTTTTCTAGTTAGACCAAAGCTACAAAGTTCCCCTCGCTGGAGCCCCTGCCACAGAAAGCCCTGGGCTGACCCAGGATGGATACTCGCTGAGTCCCGTAGGAGGTCTGTTCCCAACACATTGCTTGTGCTCACCTTTTTCGTTTGGTTTTTAATTTGGGAGCTAGTGTTGAGGGAGGTAGTTAAGACAAAATCTCTCTAGTTCAGGCTGACCTGGAACTCACTAAGCAGCCAAAGCTAGACTCAGACTCACGTCAGCCGGCCTCAGCCTTCTGAGTGTTGGGATGACAAGCTCGCAGCACGAGGTCTAGCTTTCTCTGGCTCATTTGCATACTAGTATACCTGGCCATGGTAGACCCTGTGTAGAGAGGTTGGGGGGGGGGGGGTGTAGAAACTGTTATGTTTCGGGCTATAGTGCAACTGGTCACATCTACATGTGGCTTTCCTGAAGTCACTAGCTTCCAGGTGGGCAGAATTCAGGGTCTAGTTGCACAGAGACAGAGAGAACAGTCATTGGCAGCAGGAAGGGGTGCTGGATGGCAGATGGGCTGCACCAGGCCTCCTCTGCAAGAGGGCCTTGGCCAACACCCAGCCAGTACTGCCTTCACTCTCTGACCTTTCCTCTCTGGTTGAGGCTCAAGTTTCAGCTGCTGTGAGGGAAGCTGTTGGCTGTACCAGGAGACTCAAAGTCCCTCTCTTCTCTCAGTCACGTGCTGTGAAGGGTAGGCCTTGGACCGGCAGCATTGTTCTGAGAGATTAGGGGGCACAGGCAGTCCGCCCAACCCTGTTTCTCAGCAGTTGTCTAACTTTTCAACGGTTAAACATTAGTCAGGGTCTGAGTTCTCGTGAAGGCTGGCGGTAACAGAAGACATTAACAAGACTACAAGACAAAACACCTGCCCTTCAGTCACCTCAGCCTCCTTGAGTCTTGTAAAGAGGATTTTATGTTTTCTGCCCCAGCACGTAGGGAACGATTCCTCCCCTTAGCATGAGACACTCCTGTGGGTTTGTCCTGCTCTTCCTTTCCTCAAGTACTTTCCTGTCATCTCCATCCGCCTTCGCCGCCCCTTGGTGGAAGATAGTTTTCTTCTGGAAAGGTTGAGGGGTCAAGGTGCAAGCCCTTACTTTGTAAATCCTTACCCATCCCTTAGCTACATGCATTTTGTCTTCTAGTCTTCTTTGTAAAAAAGCCAGTCTCCTTCACGCTTTAGTCACGGCTGCTGTTGCTGCCTGGACTACTGGGTATGGGACACCTGGCTTTGTACCCAGCGTTTCTCAGGGCCCTGGGGAGAAGACGAGGTCATGGTCAAGTTGTTGAGAGTGATTCGGGTTGGATGGTCACCAGGCACATGATCCTGAAATCCTTACTGAATTGAGTAAGATAGCCAAACGTGTATTTATCAAGCTCTCTGTCCATCTGGAACATTCGAGTATTTACAAAATGTTCTCCCTGTTCAGGCTCTGAAAATCCTTCTTCCAGGAACATGTTTTGATTCTTCAGCTACGGTAGCAACCTGACTAACAGCTCTTGTGTGAGGAATCAAGAGTTTCTACTCTCAAAAGTCAGTCTTTCCCTAACTCTTTCAACTCTATGAAAACAACTAGGGATTGTCTCCCTGATTAATGGAATGCTAAGGGAATAGGGGAGAATGGTATGTGCTGTGGAATTCAGAGAGAGATTGGAGAACGAACGGATCATTGCACTTTTTTCCTTTATTAAATATTTGTTGTGCATCTGCTATGTGTAAGCACTGATAATATGCTTGGGAGTTAAAGATGTAAAAAAGATTGAAAAAAACAAATTTTATATATATTTNTGGGGGAGGGGGAGGGAAATGGGAGACGGTGGCGGGGAAGAGACAGAAATCTTTAATAAATAAATAAATAAAGGCATGTTCACCACTGCCCAGTGTATGTACAGTATTTAAAAGAATAAACATAATCTTCTGGAATTTCTAAATACTAAAGATATAGTATTCAGTGAAAAGAATTCAGAGTAAAGTCTAATGTTTTGTATCATTTATCTAACTATAAAAATCAGCAAAGTTGTAACTTATAGGACTCATATCTAATTATGCAGTAAAAGAATAGGAGGACACATAGAACTGGCAAGCAATCAATTCATAAAGAAGTTACCTATTTCCACTTTGAGGGAGGTGTAGCCATGCCAGAGACATATGCTGGGCAGAACTTTGCAGGTAAGCCACAGCCACATGGCGATAGAAAGATTAATAGAAATGGGTTAAATTAAGATGTAAGAGGTAGCCAATAAGAAGCTAGAGCTAATAGGCCAAGCAGTGATTTAATTAATACAGTTTCTGCATGGTTATTTCAGGGGTGAGCAGCTGGGAACAAACAAGTGGTCCTCTACTATGGGGAGGGGTGGTGGTGGTGCATGGTTCACATGTATGACCACTGGTCTGCATTGTGCCATTGAGGAAGGCAGAACTGAGTGGCCAGTCATTGGGATACTGTTATTAGAATGGATCAATGCAATTTTCATGGGAATTCAGTTTTTGTTCCCTTTATTACATGACCAAACCAACCAACCAAACAAAGAAACAAACAAACAAAAAACAACCAAAAAAAAATTCCCCAAGACAAACAAGCAAACAAAAACAGTTAAAAAACACAAAACTTATAAGTCTAGTACCTGGTTACTCTTGGACTTCATGTTGCTCCTTTTTACATGTGCTGCTCCGTAATGCTATCCATTATGATGTTAGATAGACAGAAGGGTCTTATGAGGGATGGAGCCAAGAACCCTCTTCCAAATCTGTAGCCTGACTGTCTGTCTGTCTTTCTGTGTGTACACACATATATAATAGTAATTTATATATTATAATATATAATTTATATATTTTTTAAAGACAGAATTTTAACTGCAGCCCTGGCTAACCCAGTACTTGATGTGTACTCTAGTGTAGCCTTGAACTCAGAGCAGTCCCCCTGCCTCAGATAACTTTACTATGAATAGGTACCACAATAAGATATAAGCAAAATGGTGTAAGACTGCTCCCTCCAGGAAGGACAAACCTTGCACCTTGACTGTAAGATGTGGTTGCTATAGCTTACCCTGCGGGGCGTGTTGTCGGGAATCAATAACATGACAAAGTACCGGAACAGGTAGATGGGGAAGGTGAAAGGAGTTTGCGGGTTCCAAACAATCAGGGAAGAAGATCACAGATAGCTAGTGATGCAGGACTTTCCTGCATTGTTGACACGTCCCAAGGACCTAGCGCAGTTAGAACGCACTTGTGGACAAGGTGTCGCTGTGACTCAGCATTCAAGTGAGCCGTGAAAGGCAGGAGGGACCTCTTGCTTTCTCAGTACTGTGGGCAACTTCTGAGCACTAGAGACTACCCTGACCACTACTTCAGGAAAAGGAGAGCCAGGAACATTCTTTTCCCCTTTGTTCTCAATAAATTGTTTGCAACAATCTGGAAATTAAGAATCATGCTTTTGCCAGGCGTGGTTGTGTGCACCTTTAATCCCAGCACCCGGGAGGCAGAGGCGGGCGGATCTCTGTGAGGTCGAGGCCAGCCTGGTGTATGGAGCGAGTTCCAGGACAGCCAGGACTGTTTCACAGAGAAACCCTGTCTTGGGAAAAATTAAATAGACAGATAGATAGATAGATAGATAGATAGATAGATAGATAGATAGATAGATAGATAGAAAGAAAGAAACATTTTCATCTCAGTGCAGGGAAACCGCCTGTTCAACAGTTTGTCTCTATTTTTTTCTGATTTTTAGGCAGAAAGATGACAAATGCCTAGAGTTTACTTTTCTCTTTTGTTAAAATTATATTGTTCTGTATATATAAAAAATTATATGCCACCATGTGCAGATCTTTGCAAGTTTGGGGGTCTTGGGGGGGGGTCACCTGATAAGAATTTAGTGTTTTGAGACAGGGTGTCATACTGTAGCCCAGGCTAGCCAAAACTCTTTATGTAACCCACACTGGCCTCGAACTCTCAACAGTGCTTCTGTGTCCTCACCCAGGCCAGACTACAGGCCTGGCCTCCATACCGCGTTTCTTTGTAGGTAGCTTTAGATATATAATCACACCAAACTGGCAGGACCTGAGTAGCCGTCAGAATGGAAAAAAATAACCTTGTAGCTAGATAAGAAATAAATAGTACCTAACAGTGAAAACAAACTGTTAATATATAACAAAATGAGTAGATCTCAGTGTAAGAAATCAGATCCAAAAGCCTACGTATTCTAGAATTCCTTTTGTGTGACATTTTGGAGCAAAACTCAAGATTCCCCGTGGTGGGGGAAGAGGACAAGTGATCCACAGGAGCAGGCTACAGGCACACTTTAGAATGCTGGAATATCAAGTGTAATCATGGTTAACAATCCATTTGTCAAATCTCATCAGAATGTACTCTTTAAGAAGGTAGATTTTGAGGTGGATGTGGTGGCACAAACCTGTACCTCAGACACTTCAAGAGGAGGCTAAGGCAGGAGGGCACAAATTTTTTGTTGTTGCTGCTTGTTGCTGTAAGGTGAATTTTGTACTTTAATGGCCTAAGTAACAAAAGTCCTTAACCTTCTGTTGCTCCAAAACCTGACTCAGGAAGGCAATATCCAAGATTATACTAGTGGCTTGGCGTTCCCCACGAACAGATAATAACTGGAATCCGAAGTTCATTCTGTACCCTGATCGTGAACAAGTCTCCTGAGTCAGTGCCCACACGTCCCTGCCTATCTGGCTTCTAGCCCTGGACCGGGAATGAATGCTCTGACCAAGCTCTAATTTGGGGCATGTAATCCCCATTGTAACCTATTAACCCAGCCAAAGTTTCTGGTCACTGGGGCTGTGGGTGTGAGGTCGGGAGGCAGTGTGTCCTGCAGACTCTGAGGGCGTATCTGGTACTGTCATTTCAGTGCTGCTGACTTGGGTCAACTGCTCCAGTGTCCGCTGGGCCACCCGGGTTCAAGACATCTTCACTGCTGGGAAGCTCCTGGCCCTGGCCCTGATCATTATCATGGGCGTTGTGCAGATATGCAAAGGTAATGTCGTGGGGACCACGGGGCTCCGCACAACTCCTCACCCACCCTTCGCCTGGATGCATCCCGAGGTTTCCTGGCTGTGACTTAGACTGACTTCTGTTGTCCCTTTGCTTGACAAAGGATATGAGACATTGTTCTTAGGGTTAGGGACTCCCCACCTCCACTCCCATATGCCATCTTGCGAAGATCCATCCCTCCACACTTTCCTTGCGACAGCTAAGCGAGGGCCCCAGATCGCTGAACTCAGTTGCCCTTTTGGCACAACCCCAGGGAAGATGTTTTTTACATTCTCTGTTGTGCTTTCTTAATATCTTAAAATGAAGACCAGGAGAATCTTATGCATTTCAATATTACTCATAATCTCCGGGGGAAAGAGCTCTGCATTCTTGAGGTCTCTGCCAACATTTCCCATTGGATTTGATCTGTATTTGGTTTCCATGGGACCCGCAGCACTGCTGGGCTCTGCACTGTGGCGTCACTGCCTCTTGGAGAAAGTGAGATGAAAAACGGGAGCACCTCCTGCCTGCCCCCCAGCTCTGAAGGCAGAGCGGAGGCCCTGCAGACAGCATCTGTGCTAGATGCCCCCCTGACCGTGTTCATCAGCGGCATTAGGCCCTTTGCGGGAGGCCATACGGTTTCCAGGAATCTAGGCTTAGGAAACATTGTCCTGTCTTTTCAAAGATGATGAATTCTTCCTAACCCGATCTCAGTTCTTTCTCCTGCTCACACAAAGCTCCTCATTTCCTGTCCTAATGCTGAGCTGCAGATGTCTAAATAACACAGCCAATTACTCTGTTTTATCCCTTTTTAGTCAGCAGCTATGGGTATCTGTGGTATGGTATGGTGTGTGTGTGTGTGCATGTGGGTGTGCATGTGTGTGCATGTGTGCATGTGGTGCACATGTTTGTGTGCGTGCGTGTGCATGCATTGTGTGTGTGTGCATATGTGTGTACTCAAACCCAGGGGAATCAAACCAGGGCCCTGTGCAGGTCCAGCCAGTGCTCTGAATTGCTAAGCCATCTCTCCAGCCCAATGCCAGTTCTTTGAGGGTCCACAGTATTCAGAAACTGTGGTATATTCTGGAAAGGCAGTTTAAAGGCTCTTTGCTGGCCGGGCAGTGGTGGCACACGCCTTTAATCCCAGCACTCGGGAGGCAGAGGCAGGCAGATCTCTGGGAGTTCGAGGCCAGCCTGGTCTACAAGAGCTAGTTCCGGGACAGGCACCAAAGCTACAGAGAAACCCTGTCTCGAAAATCAAAAAAAAAAAAAAAGAAGTGATGGGCTATTCGCAAAGCAAGCAAAACATGCCTAGACTGACAGGGTGCTGGAGTTCTGTGTGAGCTTGCATTTGACTGACAGTTGTTCCTTATGCTTTCTTCATAAAAACGCAAATCTATGTCAAGGAAAGTTATCAGAAGACTGCTATTGATGCTAACCTCCCCATTTAGATGAACCTTCCTTCCAATAACATTGCCTTTTAAAAAAGGACAGTTTGCCAGGCATGGTGGCCCATATCATCCCAACACTAGGGAGGCAGAGGCAGGAGGATATCTTTAAGTACAAGGTCAGCTTGGTCTACAAAGCAAGTTCCAGGACAGTCAGCACAGTAACAGAGAAACCCTGTCTCAAAAAAAAAAAAAAAAAGAAATAAAATAAAAATAATAAAGGACATTTTGAGATGTGCTTTGAACCTGAACCCTTGTTTGGACGCATGGTTCTGAGGTGCCGGGGCCTGAGAAGCTCTGGGCCTGGATCTCCCCACTGCTCTTAGCTCTCCTCTCACACAGTGGGTTCACTGATGACCAGACAAGAAGCTGGCATATCCCCACAGGGGAGGGCAAAACAATGTATGAGGTGGCCAGGGGCTGCTGAGTCTGGGCTCGTCTCTCTGAGTAGCCTCCTGCCTGTTGTATCCACAGGAGAATTCTTTTGGTTGGAGCCAAAGAATGCATTTGAGAATTTTCAAGAACCTGACATCGGCCTCATCGCTCTGGCTTTCCTCCAGGGCTCCTTTGCCTATGGAGGCTGGAATTTTCTTAATTACGTGACTGAGGAACTTGTGGATCCTTACAAGTGAGTCAAAGCATCCGTCCAGGTCTTCTGGTGACCCTTAGGCCACACGGTGCCCGACGCTGGGAAAGGGAACACAAATCCACATCTTACCCCGTCCTGGCTGTGTCCTGCTCTTTCAGGAAGCAACAGTTCATTTCCCAGGAATTTGAACCACTTGCTGTCCACCTTGCTAAGAAAAGAGAAAGGGACCTATGACTGTCCCAGGGCAAGTAGAGAATCAGAAAGCTGGGTGAGGCGGTGGTGGCGCACCCCCCAGCATGTAGGAGGCAGAGGCAGGTGGATCTCAGTGAGTTCAAGGCCAGCCTGGTCTACAGAGTGAGTTCCAAGACAGCTGGGACTACACAAAGAAACCCTGTCTTGAAAAACTAAAAAAGAAGAAGAAAGTCAGAAAGCTATACAGGCCAGTGTGAGGAAGGAGCTGTCCCGAGAAGTCTTGGCATTGTATCTGTTCAGAGGCAGACCCAGCCTTGTGTTTTAAGACAGCAGAAAGGGTGCATGGTCCAGATCTGAGTGATAAGAAGTGATAAGTAGCTAGCCTAAGCTGTTCCATTTCCTCCAAAATATCCTGCCCCCACCTGAGTCAAAGCCTGTCTCCCAGAGAGAGGAAAGGCAAGATGCTGCAAGTCTAGACTCCTGTGGTCCCCTAGCAGAACACACTCTAGTCCGGGCTTCCCTCTCATCTCGTCTCCCTCCACAGGAACCTTCCCAGAGCCATCTTCATCTCCATCCCACTGGTCACATTTGTGTATGTCTTTGCCAATGTCGCGTATGTCACTGCAATGTCCCCCCAGGAGCTGCTGGCCTCAAATGCAGTCGCCGTGGTAAGAAATGGTCCTGAGTCCCAGACCCAGAGCGCTGATGTAGATCTGCCTACTTAGCCCACTCGCTTTTCCCTGATCCGGTGCCTCATGACATTGGAAGTCATCCCACCGCCTCAGGGTCAAATCTACATGTGTCCCCAACATGTGTCCTAAGTGCCCAGGAGCAAACCAATGGCTGGGTTGGCCAAAACAGCTGTCGTGACTTTTGGTATTGAAATATCTAATGTTTTATAGAACAAGGTCACTGACTCCTGCTCTAGGGTGCCCTAAGCATGCAGGTTATATAAGGAGACAGACTGCTCTTCACAGAGACAGATGCTTGCCCAAGACATACTGATTCTCTCTGTCCTTTCCTTCTCTGGGAATCATGCAGACTGATGGCTCTCATCAGGGAAAAGTGGGTTTTGTTTGGTTTTTGATTTTTTTTATTATTTTTTTTCTTTCCTTTTTTGTGTGTTGCTTTATTTTTTTTCTGTCTTCTTCATTGTATTTTTGTGTTTTTTTTTTTTCATTTATTTTTTTATTTATTTTCATTTGTTCTTTTTCTTGTTTTAGTTATTTTTTTTTTTTTTTGTTTTTTTTATTTTTTTTTTTTTTTTTTTTTTTATTTTTTCTTTTTTTTTATTTTTTTTCTTTTTCTTGTTTTTGTTCTTTTGTTTTTTTTTTTTTTTTTTTTTGTTTATATTTATTCTCTTTTTTTCTTTGTTGTTGTCTGTTTTTATATTTTGCTTCTCTCTTTTTAGGTTAGTATTTTATTTTTTTTTTATTTCTTTTTCCTTTCTATACCCACTTTTCCCTGATGAGAGCCATCAGTCTGCATGATTCCCAGAGAAGGAAAGGACAGAGAGAATCAGTATGTCTTGGGCAAGCATCTGTCTCTGTGAAGAGCGTCTGGCTCAGAGACTCCAGAGAAGGCTGGACCCCCTAAACTGTACATATACATGTGTATATGTACATGAAGATGCGCCTGCAAATTCACAGCCACTTCTTTCTCAGCTAAAGAAACTAGCCAGTCTTTATTTTCCTACCAGCAGAATCTGCTTCTGTGAATTTAGAGACTCTGCCTCGGGTTCATTCCTCTTCCGCAGATGGGAAACTGAGGCTCAAAACTAACAAAGCCAGGGCTGAGAGAGAATTATCTCAGTGGTGAAACACTTGCCTAGCACAAGCCAGATCCTGCACTTTATCCACAATGTGCGTGTGCGTGCCTGTACGTTTGCATGCATGGGCGCGCATACAGATGCGTGCACGCACACACATGCATGTTATAAGCCTGTTCAAGGTGGTACTAGGATTTGAATCCAGATCTGATTCATAAGTGCATCTCCGTGTACAGAGAATCCGTAGTGCACACACTGGACTTTCAGCACCTGGCTTCCAATCTTGGCCCCTCCATTGTCCCTGTGGTGTAGGATCACTAAATGCCTCAATTTCTTCATTTGTAACGGAGGCTGAGAGTTAGTTCATTACGTTTATCACCGCCATACCCTGGCCCCTCAGCTAATTAGCCCACAGCATGTGTTCCTGATGTGTAGCTGTCCCTGGCTCTCAGAGAGGATCAGCAGGATGGATGGGAGACAGGCACTCGGAAAGTGAGGAGCAAGCTGGGACAGGGACCTTACCTCTTTCTTGCCACTCACTTCTTGTTTTCTTTCCCAGACTTTTGGAGAGAAGCTTCTGGGGGTCATGGCCTGGATCATGCCCATCTCTGTTGCCTTGTCCACATTTGGAGGCGTCAATGGCTCGCTCTTCACCTCCTCCAGGTGAGTGTTTGCCCAGGGCATTTCTGGGCCACTTTTCTGTGTCCATTGTTCTGTGTGTGTTTAATGGACTTGTCTGTCAGCAGGGTTCTGTGCTACCTCCTGAGTGGTGGCTTTGCAGGAGTACGCATGTCAGTGTGTGTGCTGAGGGGGTCTGCTGCTCACAGAGTGACCTATGTGGTGTCCAGGTGGCAGCCCACTTGCTTTGGCAGCAGGACAGTATCTTGACTACGTTCCTAGAGTCCCTGTTCCCCCTTGTCTAGATGCAGGCTGCCACTGTCCGGAAGGAAACCCTCCTTTGAAAGGGACCAAGAAGGATTCCTATGCTTGAAGCCTCTGGATCTGGCCTCCCATGAATGTCTGGAGTCAGACTCCACAGACTCTGAGTGTTCTAAGGATGTAGTACTGCTCCCTACTCAAGAGGCCACAAGGCTGGGTAGGGAAGAGCAGAAAGGAAACTTTTCCAATGAAAGCCAATAGCCACAATCCCAACCCAAAATTCCTTGGGAAGCCAGAAACATGAGTGGGCCCTGGAGCCTTGCCTCTTCCTATCCAGGGGTCAGGCCCTCCTTTATGTCCTTTTTTCCATCTCTAGAATGGACTTCTGGGGGTACAGATGTCAAAGGGTCACCATTAGTGTGGCCCATAGGGTTTCTATGTCCTCGGAGCACAGTCCTAATTCCCAAGATGACTCTGGGCTCAGCTGTTTGCCAAGCCCCCTGTCACATCCCAGAGAAGTTCCTGTGAGATGACAGACTTCCAGGTTTTCAGGATCCAGAGTGTGGGTATCACCTGGCTGGGGAAGGCGCACACTCACCCCTAGCAACCTCGTGTGCATGTTACACAGGCGCCGTGGCCACCGGGAGGCCCTAGCAGAGGGCGAGCAGTGGAAGAGCAGTGACCCCTGAGGCTCCCTGGGATCTGTTGGAGGACAGTGGCTGGCTACAGTCTCTTTAGTTTGGGGTTCGTCCCTCAGGCAGGCCACACAGTGGTCTGCATGCATGCAGCATAGTTGTGTGTGCATGCAGGAGATGCCAAAGGTGTAGCCTCCCTTCCCAGGCCACCTCTGCTCACCTACTACTTCCCTTCTCCCCTTCTTCCCTCCCTCCTCTCTTTCATTCTTTTATGTCTCAGTTTGACTTGGATAATCCTTGCTGAGCAAGCAGCGTGTGTGGGTGTCCGCGTGCGTGCGTGCGCGCGCGCATGCGCCCACCATACTCTCCATTGTTCCCTAGCTTGTGAACCCGACACGGGGCTGGTAGACCTGGACAGTTGGTCCTGGCTGTATGTGGAGGAGGACATCAATAAGAGCCGGGGCACGTGCATGACGTAACTCATAGCGCCCCCCAGGTTCAGCCTAGTGCACGAGACTCTGCTGGCTGGAAAAGACTGTAGCATGGGGAAAGGGAGGGGCTGCATGTGTTTGCATGAAATTAGAGAAGCTGGCCTGAATAGTTCATGGTGACAACTGCTTATGGGTGCTTGGAGTCGCAGTCAGCCGCCGTCCTTCTGAGCTGCCACTGTTAGCACCACTCAACCCTGTATGCAAAGCACGGAGTGGCAGTGGTCTGTACCAGGAGTGGTGGCACACACCTCTGACCTCAGCCCTCAGGAGGCTAAATCAAGAAGAGCCTGAGCCACATGTAGCCAAAGCCTGTGCACCGGCACACTGTCACCTTCCTGTCAGCCATTGGGGGCCACTTGCCCTAGAGAAAAGTAAAAGTCGGAGACTCAGCAGGTAAAGAAACTTACTGCCAAGCCTGGGGACCTGAGTTTGACCCCGGGAACCCAACTCACAGGGTGGAAGGACAGAGCTGACTTTCACAAGCTGCCATTTGACCTCCACACGTATGCCATAGAGAGCATGCACACAAACAAATAGGAAAATAACTGAGATCGAAACTTTTAAAGAGAACAGGTTGGAGTGCTGTCGTGTAAAGGACAGCCGGCAGTTGCAGGGTGGGTTTTGGTGGCCAGTTGTCTTGTTTTGTTCTGTCTGGAAGAGGCATAAAAAGAGAGAGGGAAGGGCTGCTTTAATGTTGCTCTCTGTGAGTCTATGTCTCTGTCTCTCTCTGTGGCTTATCCACTATTTCCTTCCCCTCCTAAGGGTGTATAATCCCCCTCCCATTGTTTAGATTTTGTTTTTAAAATTACCTTTTAGGCCTGGAGAGATGGCTCAGTGGTTAAGAGCAATGGCTGCTCCTCCAGAGGACCCAAGTTCAATTCCCAGCACCCACATGGTAGTCACAGCTGTCTGTAGTTTCCCAATGCACATAAAGTGAAATAAAAAGAGAGAATTACCTTTTAATGTATATGACTTTTGCCTGACTGTATGTCTGTGCACTGTGTGCATGCCTGGAACCCACAGAGTCAGAAGAGGGTGTCAGGTCCCCTGGAACTGGAATTGCCAAGTGGCTGTGAGCCACCATGTGGGTGCTTGGGAGTTGAACTCAGGTCCTCTGTAAGAACAACAAGCGCTCTTAACCAAAGAGCCAGCCCTCCAGCCCCGTCCCCATCTGTGAGACAGGGGCTCATATAAGGCTAGCCTCAAACTGGAAATCCCCCACCTCAGGCTTGGTGTGCCAGGTTCGCAGGCTTGTGACACCCATGTGCAGCTCAGGATCTCAGTTTTGCATTCTGCATTTTTGTGTGATGTTCTCACATAATCATTCTCTTCTGAAACATGATTTCAAGGGCTGAAGAAATGGCCCAGATTCAACTCCTAGCACCCACACGGCGGCTCAACCATCTGTAGCGATCTGACTGCGTCTTCTGGCCTCCACCGGCATGGCGCACAGACATACATTTCAGGCAAACACCCATACACGTGAAATAAAATCTTAAAAAACTTGATTTTTTTTTTACTTCATAATTTTCTATCTTGCAGATAAATCTTATTTTTTTTAAGTCAGTCTCATAATTTCAAACACTCAGGTCATTGGCAGTCTGACTCAGTGCCAGAGCCTTTGTGTGTCCCTTTCAGCACCTCTCTGTTGTTTCTGTCTGTTTTTAAGAAGTCTTCTTGGAGCCGGGCGATGGTGGCGCACGCCTTTAATCCCAGCACTCGGGAGGCAGAGGCAGGCGGATCTCTGTGAGTTCGAGACCAGCCTGGTATACAGAGCTAGTGCCAGGACAGGCTCCAAAGCCACAGAGAAACCCTGTCTCGAAAAAACAAACAAAAAAAAAATTAAAAAAAAAAAAAAAAGAAGTCTTCTTGGGAATAGAATGCGTAGTTCTGAGGGTACAAACTTTGAGTGCCAAAGTTTAAGTGTGACCGCTAAGTTGACAGTTAGGGACACCAGACACCGAAATAGATACCTCAGGACTTCTACCGGCTCTCACAGGCTCCCACCTGCCCTTTTCCAGTCCACCGCCCCTCTCCACTCTAACAGAAGCAGCTGCTCTCTGAATAGAATGAGGATGTTTTTAAAGCATTGCACGGGAAGCCCAGAGCTGTGTGTCGAGGAATCAATAGCCCTTAAGGGTGAGAAGGTTCTCATTTAAAGGAGAAATATGGCCAGGTAAAGAAAGGGACAAACTTTAATTCCAACATTCAGAAAATGGAGGCGGAGGGTCAGGGATTCCAGGCCTGTCTTGGCTACAGAGACGTTCCGGGCCACATAGGCTGCATGAGAATGGGTCTCAAAGAGCTGAAACTGAAAAAGAAGGCAGAGAAGCCGTTCCTGGAGCCTTGAAACAGGGGACTGATTCGGAGGGAGCCAGCCAGCTCACACTCTCAGTCTCCACATGCCCAGGCTCCGTCCACCTATCTCTTGGCTGCCTCTGGTCTGCCAGTGCCTGTGTTTGGGAACATGGGTCCTGTGGCTAATGGTCTGGAAAGTGCGCACACAAAGGCAGGACCCGGCTCGTGGAGGGTGCTAGTGTGGGGGCCAAAGGTGGGCGTGAATGAGAGAGCCTCGGCTTAGTGGTCCACAGGCTATCCCAGGCTGACTGACTTTTCTCCTCGCCAGGCTGTTCTTTGCTGGAGCCAGAGAAGGCCACCTTCCCAGCGTGTTGGCCATGATCCACGTGAAGCGCTGCACCCCAATCCCAGCGCTGCTCTTCACAGTAAGGCCCCCTGCTGCTACTGGCCTCGTGCAGATCCTTCCCACGCCTTGTGGCTAGCCTGGGTTGGGACTCACACCATCTGCACACACACACACACACACACACACACACACACACACCTGTCCCCCTTCTGGTCTAGCTCTGCATTGCAGTAAGCCCCGGCTGAGATAGCATGTGTGGCCATGGCAATGCTTTGTGAAGGTCAGGGAATATAATTAGAGAAGATCTTAAACACCCACAGCTCTCAGGCTGGCTCATTTTCCCTCTCCTCTCCTATGGAGTCAGACTGAAAAGACAGGATGCCACAGTCTCCCAAAAACATGTCTCTGTCCCTGGCTTCACTGGCACCTGCTACCACAAGGGTACAGCACTGAGCCTCAGCTTGAGCTGGTCATGCACACGCTCACCCTTCTCCCCTTCCACCACTTCCTGCCCTGGACCCTGTCAGCCTCTTGAAAGGGGCCATCGAAATAAACCTAGTTCAGGGCACACGTGATAAGAAAAGTCACAGACAGGGGAAAACTCTTGAATTGACGGAGGGGGAAAGGCCACTTTGAATGGGGAAGAAATGGTGTAAAAAGAACAGAAGCATTTCGAGCAGCAACCCTCACCCATGGGTGGCGACCTCCACAGGGGCCGCTTATTAGATCTCCTTTGGTCATTTGCATTACAATCCATAACAGTAGCAAAACTACAGTTATGAAGTAGCAATGAAAATAATTTTATGGTTGGGGGGGTCACCACAATTTGAGGAACTGTATTAAAGGGGGGCAACGTTAAGAAGATTGCAAACCACTACTCTAGAGAGTAAAGGAAGACCCAATAACTTGTCCTCATTACGTTTTTTTGAATTAATTTTCTTTTCCTTCTGAATCATGGATAAAACATTGCAAATTACTTTGAGCCAGACGTGGTGGCACATGCCTTTAATCCCAACACTCAGGAGGCAGAGGCAGGTAGATCTCTCTAAATTTGAGGCCAGTCTGGCTTACAGAGCAAGTTCTAAGACAACCAGGGCTACAGAGAAAGACCTTGTCTCAAAAAAGCCAGAGAGATGCTCCTGGCAATAAAGGTATAAACCATCCTAGGCTACTCAAGGTGGCTGTGAAGTCCCTATCTTGAGATGTCCACTATAAACTAGCACGCCTGGCCTGGAGGGGCAGACCATCCCCTAACTTCTCACCTCATTCTCACTTCTCCAGTGCCTCTCCACACTGCTGATGCTGGTCACCAGTGACATGTACACACTCATCAACTACGTGGGCTTCATCAACTACCTCTTCTACGGGGTTACAGTTGCAGGGCAGATAGTCCTTCGCTGGAAGAAGCCGGACATCCCCCGCCCCATCAAGGTGAGAGGACCTGCCTCGGAGCCCCTCCCTTCCTCTGCTGCATCCAGGGTGGGGCAGATTTTTGAATCATTGTGGCTCTTGGCCACATGTGCATGAGACAGTCATTTCCTTACCTCACTCTTAAATCTTACACCCTGAGTGGGCCCTGGCCCTCCAGTATCAGGGTTCATTACATTATGTCTCTGTCCCAAAGTGAATCTCCTTCTGTCTGCTTGTATACATTTTAACCGAGACCCATTCTAACTTGAGACCCATTTGGTGCATCCAGGTGAGGCCTGGCCTGGAAGTAGATGTGAAGACAAAAGCCAAAACAGACCCAGGTTGTTTCTTTGCTCCCCCTCCAGGACCTCTTGCAAGTGTACACTAACGCGCTTACCGGCTTCTCAGTCCCCTGGGCTTCTCTGGCTGCCACAGGCACTTATATGAGTCATGAGGTCTTATCTGACCTCACCTGGGAGGGGCCCTTACTTCCCTGCCACACTGCCCGATTTCACCAGCATCTATCTGTTGATAGAGCACCTATAAGAGCCCGAAGTGTGGGATGCAGAGCTGAGTGAAGCTCAGCCATTGCCCTCAAGGAGGAGGATGAAGAAGAGAGAGGGTGCCCTCATCCTAAAGCCTCTGAGAGCCACATAACTTACAGTGCTTCTGTCCCACAGATCAATTTGCTGTTTCCCATCATATATCTGCTGTTCTGGGCCTTCCTGCTGATCTTCAGCCTGTGGTCGGAGCCAGTGGTGTGCGGCATTGGCCTGGCTATCATGCTGACGGGAGTACCTGTCTATTTCCTGGGTGTCTACTGGCAACACAAACCCAAGTGTTTCAATGACTTCATTGGTAAGTAGTGGCTAGAGAGAGGGCCTCTCGGGTAGACATAGAGCAGTCTGATGGAGGAGCCCTACCTTCACTTGAGTCCACAGGGCTCCTCATTCAGAGCCAGGAATGACAGATGTCTTCAAAGACCTCTAAGGAGAGAAGAGCCGCTGGCATCCGCAGACAGACCTGGGGCAGCTGCCAGCCATCCACCAGCTCCACACAGGCACTGACCTGGTTTCTGTATTGTTCCTTTCCACAGAGTCACTAACCCTAGTGAGTCAGAAGATGTGTGTGGTCGTGTATCCCCAGGTGGATGGGGACTCGGGGGCAGGGGAAGCAACCGATGACATGGAGGAACAGCAGAAGCCCATCTTCCAGCCTACTCCTGTCAAGGACCAGGACTCAGAGGAACAGCCCTAGCCCTGAGGACTGCTGTCCCTTTAACTGACCACTCCCCACTTCATCCTCTCTGCCCTGCATCCCTGCCTATGTCCCCCTAACACACACACACACACCTATACTTCTGTCAGGCAGGGCCAAGTCCTGGGTGTCCTCAGTGACACGTTCTAAACAAAGACACTGACCTTTGTACCCAAAGAACCCACTTCCGGTCCCAAGGCCCATGGTCGAGGTCAGTGCACCAGGGCCTGCAGGCACTCCAAGGGTTAGAGGAGACTGGAGGTGCCATGGGTACCCTGCAGGACTCTTCCTCCTGGGCCCATGCCCTTCCGGTGCCTCTAAGAAACCCGGGTTCACTGCTGCTGCTTCTCCCTAGTTCTGAGCCCAGGTGAAGCTTCAATTGGGAAGGAGGTGGCAGCACAGTGGGCTGCTGGGGAAGGCAAAGCAAACACAAGTGTCACCACTCACCGTCTTCTGGAGAGACCGAAATGCCTCTTCACTCACCGGGGACCCTGTACCTACCACTCACTCCACTGCCCAGCCTAGGCCCCCTGCTGAGAAACTTCCCTTTCAGGATGCCTCCTCCCTACTGAGCTAAGGACCAAGAAGAAGGACCACCCTATCCCCAGCTCTAAGCCAAGCTTGTGAAATACATAGGGGTAGGCTCAGACTGCAGAAGCCAAGCCCTAACCCTAACCCTGCCCCTGCTTCTGCCTCCTGTCTCCTTGTGGTGCCAAAGTTCCCTGAAGCCAGAAAGGCTTCTTACATTCAGTCGAATAGATATATATATCTCTCTCTTAAGGGCAAAGCGACTCAGCCACCCCCACTGGCCCCCTGAGCATCCCAGCCGCTCTTCTCACCCACAGCACTGCCGGCCACCCTTGCGCTTTTTCTTCCCTGGACCTTGGCTCAAGGACCAGGCAGGAAGGATCCCCAAGCCCTTCAGGCCTGAGATTCAGAGTCAAACCAGCCTTAAGTCATCTCCCCTCCAAAAACTGAGCCTAAAAATGCTCCCTAGTTCTATCCTTCAGGACAGACTTGGTGTTAAATGCCTCCCCTGGAAGGAAGGGTGCTTCTCCCTCCCTAGAGATGCTCAGCCCTCATCCTGGGGAGACCCTGTTGCTGGGGGAGTGTTTTCTGAAGGCTGGTTCCTCTCCCCTCCCCCAACTCAAATGATCCCACCACCATCCTGCCATCCCTTTTGGGACAAGATGGAAGGGCAGTGACAGAATGCCACTCCCTTTGGAGAGCTCAGAAAAGTCCCTTCCACGAGACCTACCGACCTGTGCTCTACGGGAAGATAACAGTGTTTGCCTTGTCCTGGCAGCCTCCGTACCTGCTGTGCCAAGGACCCCACGCCCCATTCCATCTACTTAAACTGGAATACCCCAGGGCCTTTTCCTGACTTCTCACCTAGCTCACCTGACCCCTAACTGGTGAGAGGCTAGGTTTGGGCTGATTATGGTCCTTCAGAGTGCAGTCCAGGCAGGCTGTGGGGCCTCTGGGGGACCAGGGACCATCCCTCCATCCATTTCTTCTCATTCCTTCAGCCTCTACCCACCCCCTCCTTGAATTATTATCTTTTTTTTAAGTGGATGCCTTACTTTTTTGGATAAATATTTTTGAACTTGGCATTTCTATTTCTTTTAAATTTTTTAATGTATGGTGGTTTCGGGGGGCAGAGCTAGTCCCTTAATAATCTGTCACTGAGTTCATTTAGGTCTTACGTTTTCTTGGTTTGTTTTGTGGAGTGTTTTCAAGTAATAAACTTTTAAATGGAAATGAAACAACAATGTTAATCAGATGACTGCGGGCCGGTGGTGGCGTGCTGCAGAGGCTGGCAGAGCTCTGAGGGTCGAGGCCAGCCTGGCCCGCAGTAGATCGAGTTCCAGGATAGTCTGGGATACGTAGAGAAAACCTGTCTCAAAAAAGGGAAAAAAAATCAGATGACTTCTGAATCAGAGTCAGTGGACATTTTTTCTTAATCTAGAACTCTTTGGTTGCCAGGTTCCTCTGAGACTTTGTTCCTAAAAGTCTCGGTTACCACACTTTGAGCTGCCCAGTAAATACGGAGCCTATAGCTTCTTCCAGTAACTACCTCTTGTCCCTTCTGTGGCGTCCTGCAGGTCTGCGGGGTTCCCGCTCCATGCACCGTGCTGAAATCCTACAACAGGAAGTAAAGCTCATCACTCCCCAACATCCAGACAGGCCAGGGACCAGCACCAGGCCAAGATGGGGGTGACACCCCAAAGCCTGGGAGTAAAGGCTCTATGGCACTGTGGAAACAGCCCGTAGGGGGTCCGGGAGCCTGTGGAAGATGAGGCTTGTTCACCCAGCTAAGCAGAAGCTCCTGTGAGCTTAGTCACTGGAAGGAGGATAGAAGATTGGGCCAGGACTAGAAAAGGAGAGGAGTTAAGGTCAGCTTGTGTGCTTACTTGGAAATTTTTTTTACATTTATGTGTGTGTGTGTGTGTGCGCACACACGTGCACACGCACACATGCACGTGTGTGCCACAGCACTTGGGTGGAGGAGTGCATCTTGCAGGAGTTCTTTCTTTGAACCATGTGCATCTCAGGGATCTAACTTGAGTTAAGATTGGCAGCTAGTGCCAGGCGGTGGTGGTGCACGCCTTTAATCCTAGCACTTGGGAGGCAGAGACCAGCCTGGTCTACAAGAGCTAGTTCCAGGACAGGCTCCAAAACCACAGAGAAATCCTGTCTCGAAAAACCAAAAAAAAANAAAGATTGGCAGCTAGTGCCATTTTGCCGGCCCCTAGAGATTTTTTTTTTAGTTAGTTAAAAAAAAAAAACAAGCTGGGCAGTGGTGGTGCACACCTTTAATCCCAGCACTCAGAAGGCAGAGGCAGGCGGATCTCTGTGAGTTCGAGGCCAGCCTAGTCTACAAGATCTAGTTCCAGGACAGCCACCAAAACTACAGAGAAACCTTGTCTCAAAAACAAACAAACAAAAAAAAAACACACACACACACACACATTAGCCAGTCATTTACCTCCAATTCCCGCACTCAAGAGGCAGAGGCTGGCTGATCTCTGTGAGTTCTAGGCTAGCCTGGTCTATATAGCAAGTTCCAGGACAGCTGCGGCACTCCTGGTGCTTTGGAAAGTTGATGGACTGGATCTGGTCCTTGCTTCTGCCCCTCCTCTCTACAGTCCTCCTGTGGCCTCCCCTGGGGCACCATCATTCCAGAGCCAGCTCTGCTTACAGACCTAGGACCTGTGGGGAGGAGGAGCATGAACAGCAAGACACTACCCTTCACCACCTGGGAAACTGAGGCACAGGCACGTCCACGCCAAGTCTTAGCCTGGCATCCACACTCTTGCTTGTGGCTGTCCTTAACTCCAGACAGGCTATAAGCTTGCCATCCTTGGAGGCACAAAGCCAGGATGGGGAGATGCTGGGCCAGTAGCTGGTCACAGAGCAGCCCTGTGCCCTCGGTTACCCCACAAGCAGAGGATGGCAGTCCTCCAAAGGTCACCCACTAAACCTTTCTGGACCTCCATTTCCTTTCTCTGCCTCACCAAGTCTCCTCCATGTTGCCCCCATTCTGGTGTGGTCAGGCCTCCCCAGTTCCCTCTCATGTCCCTGGGATTGCCTCTCCCCAAATAAAATGACATCTGATGACCTTCAGCATGGTCAGACGCAGGTGTGGGTCTCTTGAACGGCTCGCACTTCTTTCTAGCCTGAAGCCCTTTTTCTGTCTTAGCCCTGATGTTGCCTTCAGCGCTAGGAACTTCAGGTGTTTGAGTTTAGACAATATTTCTTCTTTAGACACTCTAGGAACCTTTCAGAAGTCATTAAGTCATAGTTGCTCAAGTGTTTTTGTTTGTTTGTGCATTTATTCCGTGTATTTGTGCACTCACACAGGTCTCAAGGTCAGATGTCATTTCTCGCTTTTCACTCCACCGTCCCTGGGACTTTAATTCCAGGCTACAGACTTGGTGGCAAGTGCTTTTCCCTCTCAGCCATGTCACTGGCCCACATTCGTTCATTGTACTTAAGCAACAGGTCTGTGGTTCCGGTGTCCAAAGGCGTCACCGTTTCTGTGGAAATAACAAGTCTATCCCTGAATTTTGCAAGCCATCACACAGATTCCAAATAATCTTTGTCTCCTGAAGAGTATTCAGATATGTAGTGGCATGTGCCTTTAGCCCGCCTTTAGTCCCAGCACTCAGGAAGCCGAGGCAGACAGATCTCTGAGTTCAAGGCCAGCCTGGCCTACGTAGTGAGTTCTGGGCCAGCCAAGTGCTGCATAGTGAAACCTGGCTCAAAAAATAATAAAATAAAATAGTGTTCAGACATGTCAATCTTCCCATTCTTTTATCGTTTTGTTTTGCTTGGGTCTTTTTAGTTTGCTGTTTGTTTGGGGGTTTTAGATGCATTTACTTTGTGTCTGTATGTTGCCTGTGTGTGTGCATGTATGTGTGTGTGGTGTGTGTGCACCGTGTATATCCCTGGTGGTCACAGAATTCAGGAGAGGGCATTGAGTCCCCTGGAACTGAAGTTACAGATGATTGTAAGCCACCATGGGTGGACTAGGACTCAAACCCAGGTCCTCTACAAGAACAACAATACTCTTAACCAGATCTCCAGCCTCTTTTTGTTTTTGAGACAGGGTCTCACTGCACAGCCATAGCCAACCTATAACTCTCTCTATAGACCAGTCTTCCTTCAAATACACAGAGATCCGCCTGCCTCTGCCTCCTGAGTTGTGGGAAGAAGCGCGTGCCACCACATCCAGCTAATTCATTTGTTTTTTGAGAGAGTCCCATTCTGTACTTAGACTCACCTCAAACTCATAGCAGTCCTCCTGCCTCAACCTTTCACGCCCTGAGTATCATGTGATTACAAGTGTAATACATGCTTATCCTTAATTTTCATTCGGGAAATATGGTCGTTGTGTTTAGTAGTTTTATGTCAACTTGACACAAGCTAAAGTCACTGGAGGGGGGAAACCTCAGTTTAAAAAAAATGCCTGCATAAGATGGAGCTTAAACAAGCCTATAGGTTATCTTCTTAGCTAGTGATTGCTGGGTGGTACTGCGCCTGGGCTGGTGGTTCTAGGTTCTGTAAGAAAGCAGGCTGAGCGAGCCATCAGGAGTAAGCCAGTAAGCAGCACTCCTCCATGGTCTCTGCATCAGCTCCTGCCTCCATGTTCCTGCCCTGTTTGAGCTCCTGTCCTCACTTCCTTCAATGGTAGACTAACATACGTGAGTGTAAACCAAATAATAGCTTTCCTCTGGAACTGCTTTTGGTCATGGTGTTTCACCACAGCAATAGAAGCCTTAACGAATACAATCATCATCACAGAAAAGATTAAAAAGAAGTAGCTCAGCCTAGTCTCAAAGAGCAAAATGGGGTAGGGTTGTAGCCCAGTTGGTAAAATGCTTGTCAAGTATGCATGGTGCCCTGGGTTCAATCCCCAGCACCACCACAGGAAGGAAGGAAGGAAGGAAGGAAGGAAGGAAGGAAGGAAGGAAGGGAGGGAGGGAGGGAGGGAGGGAGGGAGGGAGGAAGGGAGGAACGCATGGTGACATACACATAAAATACAAATAAATCTTACAGGGGTGAGGTGGGGGATGAAAACCTTTAATCGCAATACTTAAGAGGCAGAGGCAGGCAGATCTCTGAGTTCGAGGCCAGCCTGGTCTACAGAGGGAGTCCCAGCACAGCCAGTGCTCTGTTATGCAGAGAAACTCTGTCTTGGAAAACAAAACAATGCAAAACAACAACAACGAAAAGTATGTCAGGGAGAAGAAGCCAAGAATGAATGTGCACTTCATGGGCCATCTCTCTGTCCATCCACTGCGGATGAAGACCACCTCCCCATGGGGCTCCCAGTCTGGACTGGCAGGGTCTGGCAAAAGTATCTCCAGAGCCTGTACTCCCTGGTGCTTTTGTGCTCAAAATGCTAGTTTGAAAAAATAAAAAGGTTGTCAAACCTGGGCAGTGGTGGTGGCGCTCACCTTTACTCCCAACACTTGGGAGTCAAAGGCAGACAGATCTCTGTGAATATGAGGCCAGCCTGGTCTATAGAACGAGTTTCAGGACAGCCAGGGCTACACAGAGAAACCCTGTCCCCCAAAAAAGAAAGAAGGTTGTCGCGCTGATTATGGGCATGGTGGCACATGCTTCCAATCCCACTTGGAAGAGAGAAGCAGAGGATCAATGAATTCAAAGTCATTTTCAGCTACATAGTGAATTTGGGGCCAGCCTAGGCTACATGAGAGCCTAGTTTTTAAGAAAAGTAGAACAAGAGCAAGTGAGAAGACTCCAATGGTAAAGGCGCTCGCCGCCAAGTCCGACAACAGGAGTTTACTCCCTGAGACTCATGTGGCAATAGGAGAGAACTGAGTCCCACAATTGTCCTCTGAATTAATGTGGGGCAGGAGAGATGCCACAGTGGCGAAAAGCACTTGCTCTTACACAGAATCTAGGTTCAGTTCCAGCACCCGTACGCTCAACCATCCCCAACTTCAGTTCCGCGGGATCAGAGCCCCTCTTCCGACCTTCATGGGCACTAGGCAAACACGTGGTGCACATACAAACATGCAGGCAAAACACCTACACCCATAAGATTAAATTGAAAAAAATCAAAAAAGAGAAGGTAATTCCCACTCAACAAGAGAGAAGTCATTCCTGGTATTGGAAACCCAGCCAGCTACCCGGAGCTAGTGAAGTCATGGGTCTTGGAGGAGAACCTACGACCACCACTTTACTAACCCAGCATAATCCCTAACTACATTCTAAACATTTGTCTCCCTACACCTTGCTCTCCATCAAGGAAACTTCTCTTTATAAGACATAACAGAAAACCACAACCAGTCAAAATGAGGACTTTTGGAGCCCAGTCCCAACTGATACATCTACAGCATAATTCCTGCACCTAAGACTCGGGGATCGCTGTGGAAGACTGAGGCAGAAAGGATGTAAAAGCCAGAGACACAGGGAGTGTGCTGTGAGCGTGTGTCTCGTAGAAATGTCAGCGAGGCTGCACCATGAAGTCTCACCAACACGGCTGCCTAAACATGGCATGAACAGTGATGACGCCAATAGACATGTTAACCTTTTGGGGGAACTCATGAAGCTTCAACCGTACACAAAGAGCTACGAGCAACCAAGGCATGCTGAGAAGTGGAGAAACAGTCTGCCCCTGGGAAGAGCTCTCCAATAGTTACCTAATTCAAATGGTCAGCCCTGAAAACACACACATATGAGCAACGTTTTACAGACTAAATAGGTTACATTCATGTATTTAGGAATATATAGATCAACAATTAAGGAAGAAGAGGCCATGAATTTGAATGCCAGCAAGGGAAGGGTGTATGGGAAGGGTTAGGGAGAAGAAGGGAAAGGAGGGAAATGCTGTCATTATAATCTCAATTTTTAAAAAAAATAGAGATGTAAACTAGGTGGTGGTGGGGCCTGACTTTAATCCCAACATTCGGGAGGCAGAAGCAGGCAGATCTCTGTGAGTTCGAGGCCAGCCTGGTCTACAAGAGCTAGTTCTAGGACAACCAGGGATACGCAGAGAAAATCTACCTCAAAAAATAACCAAAGACGAGCGATGGTGGCGTACGCCTTTAATCCCAGCACTCGGGAGGCAGAGGCAGGCGGATCTCTGTGAGTTCGAGACCAGCCTGGTCTACAGAGCTAGTGCCAGGACAGGCTCCAAAGCCACAGAGAAACCCTGTCTCGAAAAACCAAAAAATAAATAAATAAATA